GCTAAAGTTTTATTAACAGGAATCAAATCAAAGTACTTGCCACAAGTTCAAGTGAATATAGTAACCTAAAATTGTCACTACTTCGACTAATTCAACTAACTACTCTTCACACTACAAACCACTCTACTAGACTCCTCACACGTCTACAGAATACTACCGAGTCATCATTAATCCTCTCCGTAGAATTCTCTCAAGACTCCTCGTAGCTCTCAATCTCCCCCAAAACTTCCTGTTGAACTCCCTAACAACCCTTTATATAGGTATAACTAATTTAAGATACTGACATCACATACTTAATATACTCAAAGCTATACTAAAGTTAGCTTATGACATCATATACTAAATATACTCAAAGCCATTCTAACCCTAGCCGATGACATCATACACTAAATATACTCAAAGCCATACTAACCCTAGCCGATGACATCATATACTAAATATACTCAAGTCATACTAAAGTCAGCCGATGGCATCATACACTAAATATACTCAAAGCCATACTAAACTTAGCCGATGACATCATATACTAAATGTACTCAAGCCATACTTAAGTCAGCCGATGACATCATATATTTAATATTCTCAAAGCCATACTAAACCTAGGTAATGACATCATTTACTAAATATAACAAGAAACCAGATAAACTAAAGATAGAGTTGCTTCTAAATACAAAGTATGGAAGTCACCTAGTACTAAATACAGGGATCGTGTCTAATAATACATCCTGATGTATAACTAGGAAATCTATAAATACCAGCAACTGACCACTCATTAGATGTGCAGGCCCTTCGAATTCCCTTTTACCCCAGTAATGACCTATTAATACACCAGTCCCTAAAAATGACCACAAACCTATTTATATCTAACTCTTCTGATGCATGAAAGATACCTCACCAAGGAAGCTTTAAACCTTTGACTTAATCACTTTCTACTCGGCTACTGGACCCATATCTCTGAGCTATAAGTAAATGCCAAAGTAACCCTCTAAACCGACTTACCTTTATTTTACAACTAATTGTAAACTCCCTTGTTCAAACGTTGCACATTAGAAACAGTCAATACATTGATATTTAGAAGAGTCGTTCAAAGAATAAGATGACGATAGATACCGTTCTGTGTAAGAAAAAAAAAGCTGGTCCATTGGATAGGCAAGTAAAATAATGATGGATCTGATTAACCGGTTAAAGATGATAGGTATACTCGGTCGGAATATATAGCCCACTTGATATCACTGTGAATAGTAATTAACAAACTTAATAGATACGCTCTTGTGAAGAACAATTTTCACGGTTAGAACATGACTTCTAAGATGAACCATTAGAAATCCCTCTATATGTTTAGAAGATCTGACCTGACTTTGTAGATCTATTATGAGGGAATGTCAACCTTTTTGAACCCAGGATCTTCACATATAACATGTTGTTTGTCGTGTGGATCCTTCAGTACCTTTCCTGGTAGACAGTCACATGTCAAGTTGTTTGTTGACGATCATTCAGACACCTCTATAGGATTATCTGACTCTAAGTGTTGTAAACATCGTATACAACTGATATATTGACCGGGGACACTGGTGTAAAGGATATGATATTAAGGAACAGTAAACATTAAAGAACACGTTAGTGAGTAACTTACAATTCTGTGTGGTTTTCGGAGTTGGTGGATCCTCACATATAGCATGTTGTTTGTCGTGTGGATCCTTCAGTACCTTTCCTGGTGGACAGTCACATGTCAAATTGGTTGTTGACGAGCAGTTAGACACCACTTCAAGATTATCTGACTCACAGAATGATGAACATATTGCACAACTGGTATGGACACCTGGGACACTGGAGTAGTAACCTTGTGGACACACCTCGCAGACTGCGATGGTGTTATTACTGGTGCAATCTCCAGAGAGGTAAAACCCTGGTGGACATTCAAAACAGGTAAGGTTCCCTTTTGTGATGTAAGGGCGAAGTTCTGTGCACGTGGCCTACATAGAAAAAAAAAGAACAAAAGTAATTGTTTTTCCTTTTTTGTTAAGACTTCATTTTCATTCAATTGTTAAGGACTGAAATCAAAACCGAAAGTTCATGTTTGGTCTGTTTATGTATTATTTTATATTTAAATAATTAGATACGAATCAGCTTGTTTCAATTTCAAATACTCATGTAGAGCTAAATAACTAATACAATTGATTTCGAAGATCTGTTTTTTGTAGAATAACTTTTATTACGAATAGTTGTATATTTCAAACGTTGGTGAGAAATCATTTTTCAATAAATTAGATAAACATTTTTTTAACCTGTAAGTGAGCGAGATCGGGTTATCTCAGTCGTGGGCTAATATTCTGTAACATAATCCCACCCTCGACTTACGCCTCTGTTGGAATTATGCTACAGAATCTTGGCCCGAGTCTGAGATAACCTGATCTCGCTCACTTGCAGAAAATTGATTTTTGTCGGACCTTTTAGTTAAAAAAACAACAGTTCAATTTTGCCAAAGACTACACGTATACCGTCTGGGGTCTCATTAAAAATGGCCTCTACACGACTAAATCTACATTTGAATGCTATCTTACAAGGAGAACAACGTATAACACAGTGTAGATTATATATCATCTACAACATCAGATATCTAACAACATCAAAACTATACATATAACGAATAAACAGAGATTTATAATGTAGATTGTCAATTAGAGTCGTTAACGCGCGGATGACTACATCACAGTGTAAATATTCCGCAACATGTCACGTAAAGGTACCAGACAGATCAGACGAGACAGAAAAAACGAGCATGGGGTATGACGTAGGGTGCCTGAGTACAAGAAATAAATATCCCGAAAAAGATAAAGGGTTATGCTTATCAAGTAAAACAATTTAACAATCACATTAAAAAGAACAACTGTAATCGTCGATGCATTGAATATTATAATGAAAAAGTTAACAAAATATACACCCAATAGCGAGTTGTTTAGGAGTAGTGCTAAAAGTCTGTTCAAAACAACTACATCAAGAACTGAAGCGACAGCAAATGAAAAAGAAGAACATCATGCAACGCCACCTTACCTGCGATGCTGAACTAATGAATGGCGCTACCTGCGATACTGGAATAATAAATGACGCTATAACTATAGTCACCACTACGTTCCTTGAAATCTGAAACAAATAATTAAACACAAAAAGAATGCACAGTGTTCACTTTAAAAAAGTGTGTTAATTATATTAGCAAATGCATTATTAAGTAATAGTTATATCCCTTCCTATTTCAAAACGTAAAGATCAAAGACCATTCTGAAAGCAGAGCATGTCACGAAGAGGGCAAGAGTCAAAAGTTATCTACCTTCGTTATTTGTGTTTTCTGTGTTACACCTCCGAGTAGAAACACAATGTATCATATACATTAGTGTTTGCTTATCCGTATGTCTGAGTGGGCTTATTTCAAAAATAGCTTGACAAAAACTAAATCCATATTTTATTCATGTCAATTATCATGTACAATTACAAATGACATTTGATTGGTGATGATTGGGAAAGAAGTACTAACGTACTTATACCTTTATAGTGATAGCCTTAATAAGTACAGAAGAAACTTTTGAGAATGAAATAGGGGGCTGGGGGTATTAGGTTTTTCTCGGATGAATGGGTAGTTAAGACTACATGGTACCTTAATGTAGTTAAATTAGAATTGCTTGCACATTTTCTAGGTGATTTGTTAAAATTTTCAGTACCTATAATTGTTTTCTTTAAATTTGATCATACGCTACGGAAATTTCACCAAATAGTAGTAAATAAACGCTTCATTAGTAAGGCAAATGAGTAAAGTACTATTGTCATTAGTACAAAACAATAAATCGTTGGAACTGTCTTCTGCAAAATGAAATATTATGACAATAAGAGATTAAGATTTTTTCGATAAGATGACGTTATGTTATCCCCATATTCATAGTTCGTTCCAAATGTCCACTTTGACCACTTGATATTACGGGAAAGCCAAGTTTAAAATAGCGCCGATAACGTCACGTGTCGGTTTTGAAACTTGCCATCAAACACAGATTTTCCGACTGAGATGCCAAGTTCGAATGGGGCCCCAGGAGAGGGAGGTGAAGTCGGGCAACTTCTTCCCGCACTATGATTAAATTATACCATTTTATTGGACCCAGTTATATTATAAATCATAATATTTGTTACATGTATACGTCGTGAAGGTATTGTATAACATGACAACAATTATCACTTGGAGGTCCCCATCGCAAAATCAAACTTACCAGTCTCTCATTCCTTCCTTTCTATCCGATACATGTCCATTTACATATTTAACAATTAAGTTCATCTGTGTTCCAACTTAGACAAACATACAAGCTATGCTGATGTTGTGAAATACTTATTCATAACATAAACAGCATTTCAGTCAATTCGACCTCAGCTTTATTTATATTGGTACCGGCTATCCGACAGAATACATACACCGTTCTTGTTGCGGCAGTTATACTTCGAATACTTCACACCTGCAAAAATGCTTCCATAACGTAATCCTCGCGCTATCTTTTGACCATTTTGCAACTCTTCATTATGTAGCTGATGTAAAAAAACACACCTATAAATCGTTGGTCAAACACCTAAATTATATTATTAATAATGCATTTGATCTATATATGGGCACTTTCTCGAAACAGACACTAAAAATTGCTTTTCCCATGAAGTTCCCTTAAGAGAAAAGGGCGACATTTTTTCACGTCGGTTATTACGTACAGGAAGAACATCAGTTATTTTGCAAGAGTCTGAAAATATGCCTCAGAGTGTATAGTTAAGTTAAAAACGGAGTATATAGGCAAAGATTATTCATTTTCGTCCTCGCATCCTTAACCTTTATGAAGATATTGTCTTATTACAAACCGGAATTGGTTAACGTGGGAGCGTGTGTCGTCAACAGAAGCCTGGGAATAATATCCAGTCACATGTAAGATCATTTTTTTAATTTATTGACAATTCAGAGACTGAGTTATATAAGTTAATGGTTGTATCAAAAGAAGAGTATCGATTGGTGTTCTTACCATCAGAATAAACATCCATGGCTCACGTGAGATATTTATAGAACCCTCTGACGTCACCAATTAACGTTTCAATTTTTATTTGCAAAACGGATCACGGCTTGAATTTTGCCATATTTTCGCTTCAAGTCCACATTTTCTGTCAGCATTTTAACATTTTGTGATGATCTTTAAAACATGATATGGAAAAAGTATTTCTATATTCTGAATTTATTCCAACAGTCCGAAACAAAATACATTTTTAATGATGTTAACACAACAATAGACATTGTGTTTGAAATACGCCTTTGATGCTATTTTAACGTAAAAGATAATCATCTATTAATCAAAAATGATGCATAACTATGTATCATAAGGAAAACATATTGTAATTACTTAACTGTTGACACAATTAATGATTTTTTAAGTATTTTTGCAAAGAGTGATCCGATTTGGGTCCTGCCTCCTTATATCATTAATACCGGTATTATATGCTTAATCATTGGAATGTTTAATTATGTTTCTATTATTTATGTTAGAGATTTTAGGTCTATAAAATCTTCAAAATATGAATTTTTTGTCCATTTTGTGAAATCTAAATACCGACGCATTCTATGTAGCTTACTTCAATATCTCGTAGTACTTTCAGCCAATATGTCTTTTCATATTTATACTGCTACTCGCTGCCTGTTCTATCTGGTCTACAATAACGACGCTTTTGAAAAACTGGTAGTTCTATAACGCTGTTTTTTTTATTCGTTAAACCAAGTTTTGGTGAAAGCTAGAGCACGAAAATAATTGTTAGTCTGAATTACTGTCTCATATTCTACTTATAATGTGCGAAAAAAGGAGAATGATTAAAAAATAATGTGTTATACGTAATGTACTGTTGAAAAGGAAAAGACGTTACCGGGAATTTACGAGTATTAACCCATGTGAATGTTGTATAAAATATATACACCAATAATTGGGATCTCTATATTTCTGTCTACTTCAAACTACCTTTTAGCTTTAACGCTAAACGTTCGCCCATGTGAGGAAGGCAATGGATTCTGTCCCCAGACTGAGACACACCAAAGTCCTTAAAAATGGTGGTAGTTGTTATTCCCTGCTCAACGTTCAGCATTAAGGGTAATGGCAATAACCGGTTCATCATGCACGTTCTTCCAGGAAGGACTCGATAAAATCTGAGTGTAATCAGTCCAACATAATTCGAAATACAGTGCACAAACTGATGTTCTATTTATAGTAAGTGACCTTGACCTTTGATATCAAAGGCTGAAAAGCTATCCAAAAGCTTAAACAAACATTTTATTACACTGGATAAAGTCTGAGTGCATAAGGCCCAAAAGAGCTCCAAATATTGTGCATGAAATGTTTTTTTCTATTTATAGTAACATTAACCTTGAACTTTGATATCGATGCCTCAAAAGCTACAAGTTGTTTCCTCAGCAAATACTTTCTAAAGTAGCAATGACCTTAACCTTTCACCACCAAAGCACCAAAGCAGGCACTTTCTCCGAGGTAGCACTTGATAAAGCCTGAGTGTAATCATCAAGATTGAATGGAACAAATTCAAATTATAAACCCCTGGCTATTGAAGATGGTGAGATAACGAGGTTCGATTGTAAAATCAGATGTTACTTTAGCAGTATGCTCCAGTGAAATTACACTTTAAAGTCAACATCAGTCCTGCGCTATCACAAGGAGACAAACATGAACATACCACAGACTACAAACACACAAATTAATCATGCACAAACTTACCACACACATGCATCTCGCAAATAGGGGAGGCCGTCCTTAAATAACCATGTATAGCTGTTGATAGGACTTACATTAAACAATACTAAATCAAACATGAAGTTTATTTTGACACAAAGATCTTATTTATTTGGATAATTTCATGGAAATGATGACTTGTAATTTAAAAAAAAATGATTTGTTAATTTCAGCTTGCATGCACTGTATGAAAGTTATTTTAATAGCATTGTACCCAAATGAATCAATGATTGTTGTGAAGTGATGCTATATTTGAATTTAATACATTTGATGCTCTATAACCTGACTGGGAACGCATTCGTAGCCATACCGAGACAATACAATATTAAAATGTCTCCCAATATTAACGTCTACAAAACCCGTGCTCGAGGTTACAAATAATCGCTATGTTTCAAAAAAATTTGTACAGCGGTATCCCGAGGGCTGTTAGGTAGGGGCTGTCCCAATCACCTGCCCTCTAGACTGTTTTTTAAGTTTTACTTAGTAAGTTGTTTGAGTGTCAAATTTTGTACAGCATGATTATTAAGCCTCTTTATCTTAATAATCCTTCCAACGTAGGTATCTTATGATAAAATTTGTTACAATGTTTTACCATTTATATATATGTATATTTTTTTGTCGAAATACAATCTCCTGCGAGTTTATGTTAACTATGACGTATATTCAACGTAAAATAAAGATTCTTGTATCTTGATGTCACATGCCACTATGCTTTTATCTGATAGTTTGAAGATAAAAAAACACACAAGCTTTTAATCACGATTTTTTTCTCGACAATGCGCCTATGTATAATCTTCGGCACGATGTAAACACAAGTTAAGGTATACTGTTGATGGCGACATGTACGAATGTATGTAAACTGTAAAACGAAAGTAGGTCTGCGCGATCACAAACATTTAATGCTGATATGTTCGCATAAATGTCAGTTAGTACTTGATGTGATAGCAATGGATTAAACGAGTGTTACCTTGTGTTGTATTTTAGCACATCAGTGTCTCAATACATACGGTATTAATCTGTTAATGTTCGATAAACGTCTGTTTTTTTATTACTGTCCTGATTATGTTGTGAGGTATTTCCGGGTCACGTTCTCGTATCAAGTGCGCTTCCGGTTACGTCAAAAAAAGCAATTTTTCATTTCACAAAATCTTGATATTTATTAATTAAAGACAGTTTAAAAATAAACGAGTTACCAAAACCAATATCAATACATTGTAAATATTATTTTCTTGAATGTTTGCGAAGCAGATGACGTTTGATCATAATCTCGAAACTAGAACAATTTTTCCAAAAAAATGTGTTTTAACATTTGAAAGAAAAAAGTTTGAACGGGAAAAAATCTATTTGTTCTTTTATGAATTAATGAAAGTGATACAGAAAAGAAATATAGTAAACAATTGATACTAAAGGGCCGGTTTCCAAAACGGCCCCTTCTCTGATTCAAATTTCCTGTTGGGGGTGCATTGCCCATGCCGTTGTGGTCACAAATCTATAAAGTATAAAGATTTAGGTCACTTGATTTGTTTTGTATGGCTCCTCAAAGTTGTACCTTTCAGAAGCTGTCTAAGTGTTGATAAAATGTGCATGTTATGTAAAATATTAATGAAAATCTAATCAAATGATGGTCACCGTAAAGAATACATTCATGGCATGATTGTGACAAAAAATCATGTTTCCATCGCGCCATTTGGCTGTTTTATGGAAGAAACAATCTCAAAAATGCCATTTTCGATGATAACATTTTAGACACAAAAACTGTGTTTTTTAGAGAATACACCCTTTTATGGGCGTTGGATGCAAACCAATTTTTATCCTATTAAACAGTACGTAATATGCTATTGATGAGAGGAAAAATCATCAAAATGTAAGTGGTGGAACATTTTCAAATGTTGGGTTGAATTAGCCTATGGTTGAATTGCCGATTTTCGACTTTCTTTAGATAATTAACAAAAAAA